GAAGTTCTGCACTTGTTATAGCTTGTGAGGGTGGTAAATATAGTGAACAAACGGATATGGCTTTATGTACTAGAACACGCACTGCCACTGCCTATAAAGGAGTCTGTAAGGGCATGACCGTACAAGCAGCCAGCCTTGGAACTACGATCACTACTCCTCCAGATGAAATGGTGGCATTTAGGTGGTCCTTCCGGAAGACAGTAAAATTTCGGAGGAAGTTGGTATGTGAGGCATTTAAATGTGTTTCTTGTAAACACAGGGCTGCAGGTTTGTGTTCCTGCAGAAGATAGTCAACGTCTCTAAGGTTAGTAAGCAATCCCATGCAATTCCATTGAAGGAATGTTGCAGCCATGTGTTGGAGATTGCTACTTTGGAGGTATTATTTATTTTTTACTTTTATGGCGGGCCTTGGGAGTCTGCCACTCCATGTCTTCTGTCTCAGACGCATCAGAGGAGGTCTGGGTACTCTCATCCATAGGTTCTGAATCCTACGGCAAGGCCTTTCCAGAGGGTGTGGAAAGACTCTCTCCACGAGGTGCCAGGTGTCGGCCACGACCACCACCAGTCAAAGAGGCGGTGGAGGTGCCAGGCAGGGAGGTGCCGGAGACTTCCTGTTCCTGCCTTTTGGGTGCTGGAGTGGCAGAGGAACCATGCCGCTCCTTGGATGTGGATGTCCTCTCGTGAGGGCGTGGGCCCCTCTTCCTTGAAGGGGATTGCGGGCTACGGACAGGCTTGGCCGTTGCCGACCCATCCTGTGATGGGGATGCCGTCTGTGTTCCCTCGCCACTAACTGGGACAGACTGCTGCCTCGCGAGAGCGGGAGGGGTGGTCGTCTGGCTGGCAGAGGCAGTAGATCCCCCAGCCGTTACTGCACGCCCGGGCAGCAGAATTTTCAGCTTGGGCGTGGGGGACTGCTGTGGCTTCCGATAGTCTAAAAAGGACGTTTGGGTAGCCACTGCAACCTTCAGTGGTGCATGTCCCCGCTGCACCACCTGCGCATAGCCGCCCTTCCGCGAGAAAGCGAAATGGCGACGTGCCTCTTGGTATGTCAAGTTTTCTTTTACTTTTAGTGTCAGAACTTCGTTTTCATCTTTCCATACACCACATATCTGGAGTACGCTGGGTGGGCCTCATTGCAGTTTGCGCACTGTGCAATGTTTGTGCAGGAATCTGTATTGTGGTCGGTTTTGCTGCATTTTGCACATGTCCATATTTCTGACACTGAAAACATCTCCGGGGGTTAGGGATATATGGACGAACCCTACAGTGGAGGTATCCACCCTTGACGGCTTCAGGAAGTGTGGTGGCTTTAAAGGTTAGAACGATGTGTTTTGTTCCTAATTCCTGCCCGTCGCGTCGCATGCAGATACGCCTTGCGGCCACGACCCCTTGGTCAGAAAGACCTTCAGCGATTTCGTCGTCTGTTGACTCTAAAAGTTCCTCCTCAGAGATTACTTCCTGAATCGTATTCAGTGTGCGATGTGGCGTGATTGACACCTTATGGTCGGACTCAGTGCAAGGAGGGCCGTACTCAATCAATCAATCAATCAATCAGTTTATTTTTTTCTTTCAAGGGGTACACACTCCTCGAAATGGTACCTTGGTGCAAAAGGCGATCGTGTCGCCTGACTGGGCACCAAGGTCCAATGGGGGGGGGGGGGGGAAAGGGGGGCAAAATCCAGCAGCAACAGCAATTAAGGTTAAACTTCGACAAGAGAAAAAAATACTTATACAAGATATAACGGATACACACATACATACACTCAAGAGAAAATGGATGCATACATAAAATTGTAAAGAATGAATACTAGCACACATTGATGTTGTTTAACATTGTCATAAAAACAAAGATTAAAAAGTAATATAAGACATCAAGCAAAAACGAAATAAATAAAAGTAAGAAAAGCACTTCGGTATAAACCATAAAAGTGAAGACGCTAGAATACATTCCTAAATTCCCGGCACATATAAAAATAGCAATCTGGCATTGTCCACACAATAAAATTAAAATATAAACGTGATCACAAGGTATACAAGATAAAAGTGGATGCACAAAAAATGCGGGTTAAAATTTAAAAAAAAAATTATTTCAACATATCTATAGAATTATCAACTCAGTGGCAATCAAAAAGGAGCGTAGACGTTTTTTAAATGTAGTTCGGTTTGTAGTAATTATGAAATTATTACCAACAGCATTTAGAAGCTGGGAAACCTGAAAATTGATCATTTGTTTTCCGTAGTTAGTCCTAATAGATGGTAGTCTGTATGTCCTTGTTGTCCTTAAGTTATATTCAAACAAATTTGCAGGAATGAGGTCAAAGCCGCTTATTCCGTTTCTATGAATAAGCTGCCCAAGCTTATAATGGTAAAGTTTAGAGAGTGGAAGGATATTTAATCTGTCAAATAGGCTTTCGGCTTCACTACAGTGATTCGAGTTGGTCATTATTCTTAACATACGTTTTTGTAAACTTACAAGTCCATTATAATTTGTTTTAACCGTGGTGCCCCAAACTAGTAAACAGTAGTAAAGTTTTTGATAAAAGAGGGTGTAGTATATCTGTACCTTCAACCATGTCGGTAGGAGGTCTTTTGTCTTATAAATTATTCCTATTGTTCTAGAGAGGTCACTTTTTATATGCTCAGTTTGCGTTGTCCAGGATAGTTTGTCATTAAACCATACCCTAAGAATTTGCAATCAGTTATACGGTCTATAATGCAATTGTTTATTGTCAAACATGGCAGTTTATTGATCTTTTTATTTTTTGGCGTAAATAACATATACTTTGTTTTTGAAGCATTTAATTGCATTTTATTTATGTCGAGCCACCTGTTTAAATCGCATAGGTAGTTATTAGCTTCTTGTTCTATTTCATCTACGGAAGTACCAGAAAAAAAGAGACTAGTATCATCAGCATACATGACTAAGTTTGGAGAAACTGAGATGTTTACAATGTCGTCTAAATAGATTATAAAAAGCAGAGGTCCTAATACTGATCCCTGAGGGACCCCATATTTAACAGTCTTAAGATCAGAATGGATGTCATTGATTTGTACGAACTGCTCGCGATTTTGTACGAAACTCTTTATTAAATCCAATGCTTTACCCCTAATGCCATAGCGGGGAAGTTTTTGTAGTAGGATGTCATGATTGATGCTGTCGAATGCTTTTCGAAAATCCAAGTATATGCCAAGAGTAAGAAGTTTATTTTCAATGTTATTTAAAATTTTATCTTTTATATGCAACAAGGCATCTTCTGTTGATTTACCCTTTTGAAATCCGAAATGAGCTGTGGATAGAACTGAGAATTTTATTAAGAAAGCTTGAATTCGACTGTTTATTAATTTTTCAAAAACCTTCGATAGTACGGGGAGCACCGAGATTGGACGGTAATTACTGATATCCTTTTTATCGCCATTTTTATAAATGATAGTTACTCTCGCAGTTTTTAAGGCATGTGGGAAACTACCGGTTTCAAATATAAGATTCATGATATGTTGCAAGGGCTCACTTATAATGTTAGACACGTATTTGATCGGTTCGGCCTTTATGTTATCATCCCCGCAAGCGCTTTTATTTTTTAGTGATTTCATAACAGCCTCAACCTCAAAAGAAGTGACAGGATTCAGCATAATAGTATGTTCAAGGTGGGCTCGTGAAAAAATGCTCGATGACGTGGTATTCGAGCGATTGTATGCACCAACGTTTATAAAATAATCATTGATCGCATCTGCCATGTCACGTCCACTGAAAACGTCTGACCCAATCTGCAGTTCATTAAGGGGCGTATGGTTAGAATTGGGCTTGATGATAGAGTTCAAAGCGTTCCAGGTACGCTTAGGATCATATTGAATGTTATTAAACTTGCTTACGTGGTAATGTGATTTAGCTTTTTTATGTCACGGTTCAGTGCATTTCGAAATTGCTTATATTCTAGTAGTACGCAGTTATCCCTACATTTTTGGAATTTTTCGAACAGTCTGTTTTTCTTGTTGATACGTTGTAACAATTCTCTTGATATCCATGGTTTTCGACACTTATATCGCCGTGTTCCAAATTTTTGTAGAGGAAACGCTGCGTCATAGCACTTCTTAAGAGCTGTCAAGAAAGCGGAATAGGATTCATCAACATCGCGACTAGTCATCACACTGTCCCAGTTAGTATCAGACACCATTTTGTGAAAGGCCTCTAGACTATGTTGATTGATCTTTTGAAAAAATTTATTTCCTGGTTGAGGCAAATTATGAATATTTCTAAATTGTGATAGAAAGCAAAATAAGGGGAAATGATCGCTCATGTCGGCAAGGAATACTCCAGGCACAGCGTGCGATTGGTTAATATTTGTGATGCAAACATCAATTAGCGTGCTGCTCTGTAACGTTACTCTTGTTGGGACACTTATCAAGTTCTTGCACCCATAGGACTCTATTATATTGTTAAGTTGACGTTGATTGCTAGTGTCAGAGAGTAAATCAATATTGAGGTCTCCCATTATTATTATTTTGGTGTTTTGATGCAAAAGATATGATAGCATGCTTTCAAGATTGGAACAGAATTTCGCGAACTTTCCGGTGGGGGGGCGATATACCACTACGAAGCATGTGTCACGGTGTTGCGCAGCAAGACACTCAATATCAGCAGTAGATACAGAGCATTTATCAATTTCGGTCATTTGTAGCGCTGACTTGTGATAGATAGCAACACCGCCACCGGGCTTGTTATCTCGATCGATATGTAGGCATGTATAGCTGGGGAATTGCACTGGTAATGCTTTCGCTGAGTACCATGTTTCTGTAAACATTAGTACATCGAACTGAATTTTGAGGGACGTCAAACATATCTCGATATCGTCTATTTTAGTTTGCAAGCTTCTTGCATTCATATGAAAAGTGTAAATGCCAATTTTATCAACAATGTCAAGTTTGTTAAATGTGTCTGTGTTGTAATAGCCACAGGGCTCTTCTGGTTCAGGAAAGTTGAATTCTACGTCTGCCATGGCGTCCTAAGTAATTTTTGCAATGTCTGATACAGTTTTTATATCTATAATCCTAGAGTTTTCTGCTTTTCTAGCATGCACCTTTCCATTCCTTGTCCATACAAATTTCCAGTTTTTATTCTTTTTTGCCTTGATCGCTTCACTCAAGAGCATCTTGTTCAGCATAGTGAGATGTTCATTTACAAATATTGGAGACGGTTGACCGGGAATATCGATCATCGTAGATGTTAACCGTTTCTTTTTAGCAGCATAGAATACTGCGTCTCTTTTTTGGCGTGTGGTAAACTGCACTACGATATGTTGCTGGCCGGTTTTTTTAGTGGGCACCCTGTGACAGGTGTCCACGTCTGGCAGATCTAGAGGGACCGACAGTGCTTCAGACACCCGTTTCACCACATCACGAACATGTTCGTTTGGGCTGAGAGGAATACCTTTTATTTCCAAGTTCTTTAGTCTGCTGTACTGCTCCAGCTCAGCAATTCGGTCCATCGATTCCTCTAGGTTGCTCCTCAGTTCCTTGTTCTCGCTGAGTAATTGCTGATTTGCGGTATTTAGCTGGCCTAACTGTGCCTTGATGCTTTTTAGCTCTCCGATGGCCACCTTAAACTCATCAACTGATTTGGAGCAAAAATCGGTGCTCTCCTTTAGGTCGGCGATTTCCGATTTTAGTTCCTTCTTCAGCTCATCTATGGCAGTTAAGACTGTGCGCGTATCCATTTTTAAATTTTCCTTTAGGAACAAGCGTGGGTTAAGAACAGCAAAGATGCATAGACATAAAATCAAGAATAAACAAAAGTAAAACAGTTTGCTGTAGTTGTGCAGTCCAGCGGTTACATAAAGATAAGCATACTCGCGCCTCTTCGGGTCAACATACCTGACGGCAAAAGACAGTGTTAGCCCTGTTGCGTGGGCCGCTGGACTGCGCCGCTCTCTGGATCGGCAGCTGCTTTTGTGACCACGAATCGTCAGTAGGTGTCGTTGCAGTGGAACCCGTGGATGCTGACTGTGGCTTCCATATCTGGTGCGTCACGCTTGCTGGCAGGGTCACAGTGGTTGGGCCACCTCCGCTCGCAGTTGTCAAGCGTTCGCGGATCCACTTGTAATCAGCTCCTGACGGCAAAAGACAGTGTTAGCCCTGTTGCGTGGGCCGCTGGACTGCGCCGCTCTCTGGATCGGCAGCTGCTTTTGTGACCACGAATCGTCAGTAGGTGTCGTTGCAGTGGAACCCGTGGATGCTGACTGTGGCTTCCATATCTGGTGCGTCACGCTTGCTGGCAGGGTCACTGCTCGCTGGTCTCAATTTTCACCAGAAGGTCGCCAGTATACATTTTTGGGCTTAGAAGCTTTTGCCCACAACACTTTCAAGTATTTTAGCAACGAGGAAGGGCGATAATTTCGACAGCTGTTTTTCACTTTCGGAATCAATGACCAAAGACTTTGCTTACTTGGATTGGTTACCTGGAGTCTTTTCTGAGATTAAAACTTCGATGTGGACTCTTTTGGGAGGCCGATCAAGTTGGTTTAGTTTGGAACCCATAAAGATGTGGAGGTTTTCAGAAACCGTGGCACACCGCCCACCACCGAGCCAAACAAGGGGGTAGGTAGCACCCCATAGCAAGTATGGCTTGGCTGGGTATGCTACTCTACCAGTGCTACTCAGTAACTATAACCAAGTGTGGTTCAAGAAAGATTTATGTCGCCCCCCAAAGTTAGCCCTTGCCGTCTAAGAAGGTGAAAAAGAAAGGAAGAGGCTGTAGAGGGAAAGAAAGAAAAAGAAGGTGGAAGGAAAAGTGAAAGAAGGAAGAACAGGGTAGAAGAGGCTACTGAATGAATCATCGTGGTCGGGCCAAGCCAGGACACCCGTCTACGAGAAGCACGGGCCGAAGTGGTGTATTGCCTTGCCCGGGGGGCCCCGAAGGGTCCAAAAGTACCCCGCGCTCAGCTCAACCACAAGGATCCCTTTTCCCCGGGCACGGGTACGCCATGCACAGCCAGACGTGGGTGGGCGAACCCAGATGGCTCGGGGTTCGTAGTGACGCCACTCACCAAGCACCTACTAAAGTAGATGCCCCCTGCGTGCGGGTATGGTAGCCCACGTGGCTGGGGTCCGTGGTGACGCTACTCACCAAGCACCTAGCACCTAAGGTGCAGGCACCCCCTGCGGGGCGCGGGGTCCGTGGAGACGCCACTCTCCAAACACCTGCTTTCACAGGTGCGCACTGTGGGGTTGGAGTTAGTTCGCAGACCCAGCCACGTATTGCTGTTCTACGACTATCATTCATGTGACAGCCATTTTGAAAGGCGCCAGTGCGCCCCCTATAGATCGTGAGGTTTGCAAATTATTTTAAATCCACCAATTTTTTTTTTTTTTTATGTCCGCAAGCATTATCTGTTTCCGAAGGGTACGCTGCTGTTGATCCGAAGTAAGTAGAATTTGTCCTGCCGACTACAGGAGTGCGGACAGTTTATATTTGAGATTCGAATATTTACTTGTAGAATTGTGTATGGGGTTTCTGTCTCGTCAGCCATCATGTGATCACGGTAAAGTTGGAATCCTGCCAGACAGATTATGTTAAGGCTCATACATACAATTACTCGGGAATGGATTCAGGATAATTTTTCTGCTCCTCTACCAACGCACAGTGTCGTGGACGCTGGGGTGATTAAATGTTTTTCCTATACATATTACGCAGGAGGCATGTTTGGCATAAGCTGGTAAATAATATCCCCGTTAAAATCGCAGAGAAGGAGAGCTAGCAAAAGTGAACAGTATCAGTAACTGGCGTAAGGGAATAATGACAAAAAGAGAAACATATTAAATATTTTCAACACAAAAATACTACATTTATTGACATCAATATTGCTGTATACAGTCATTTTTAAAATTCACAGATACAATCAAAGAATTTACACAAGTTCCGTGACCAGTTTTAACAGAGCAGGGACAGATCAAACATCAAGGCATTCCATAAATAAACCATAACTTAAAACGTGGTATAAACTGGCAAACTTCGCGACTAAATGCGCCGTGGACTCTAATAGAGCGTGTCGGAAAGATTCCTTGATTCATGAACCTCATAGTTAACACCCGTGTTGCACAAATTGCTCTAAAACAGTTTTCGCATATAGGGTAGACATGTGCAAATAGTAAGCTTAAAGTTGGAAAACAAACCTGAGTGTCACACGATGGCAAGGAACACATCGTCAAAAGATTTGTTTTATTTGGATTCCTTGTCCATTCCTTCACAGCCTTAAATCTACAATTGAAAAAAAATATATGTTCTGAGTGAAAAAATTATATGGAGAAAAACATCACGCGAAAAAATATGTCTATCACTTCACATGTATTTAACACTCATATGTTTATTACACTTCTACAATCCTGAAAAGGTTATCATCGCGTAGTACACTTCAATTCCAATGGGAAGGGGGAACAATTTCCAAGCAAAAATAATTAATGACTGGTATATACGTAGACATGACGTAGACGATATTTTATAATAAGGCATATGGACCCATCTAACTTAGTCTTATTGGGATTTCAACTTTTCCTGTCGTGAAGAGAAAAACGCATATTTAAACATCGTCGAACATACCCTACACTTATTTCTTAATCATAGTTTTCTTTACGAATTTTTTTTTTTTTCAAAGCATACACCTCAGAACACAGTATACTTTAATTCAAAATAGTTTGAATAAAAAAAAGGTTGACAGTATACCCTAATTGAACATCAGCTTTGTATGAAAAAAGGGAAGGTTTACATCATCACCTATTTGAATATCAGCATTGAAGGCAAAACTAGAAAGTTGCCATAATACTCACTCCGAACATCAACTTTGAATGAAGAAAAAAACCCTGAGAGTATGTTCTAACAGAACATCAGCTTTAAACCGTACCTATGGGGTATCGTACCTATGGGGTACGACCAGACGCTGTCTTCGGCCTCGACGTAGCCTCTTCCGAGAAGCTCTCGCCTCAATGCCTCGCTGGGACCTGTTCGCGAGTTGTAGGTGAAAAAGGTGTCCCTTCCGTCAGCGGAGATTTTAATCGAGCGAGGTGTGTCCACAGTCGAGTTGGAAGCATGGTAGCATTCATCTTTCAATCGTATTGGGCCCTTACTGTTAAAGATGTCAATATATTCGAATATATCAAGAATTTCCGGGTCTTCAAGGATGCATAGCCGATATCCTCTTCCAAAAAGATGCGCAAACGACACGAACTGGGTGGATTCTCCGTCGAGCGGAAGGTCGTTCAAAAGTGAAGTCAGACGGCCTTTGAATGCTGTCGACATTACGACAAACGTTAAGGCCATTATGGCGTAGAGCACCCTGGACGGAGAGCTGTTCAGCAGGTTTGTGTGGAGCTGAGTGCTCTGCTGAAAGAATGCCGCCACCATGTAAAACACCAAAAGGTAAATATTTTCGTTCTCCTTCAGCATAACCTTAATAATTAAAGCATACGTCAAGACGAGTAAGAGGCAGGATGCAACAAGTGCTACCCATACTTCCCATAAAAATGGCAAGATAAATATTTTCTCCTTGGGAACCGGTTCAGGCTTGCGAACATAAAATGAAAGACCGGCCGATCCGAAATAATAAAGAATGTCAGATATGCGGACCCTACTTCTATCTCCACGGTAAACTAAACTGTCTATAATACTGCTGGCGTACAGCTTAAAAAGGCGTATATTACGGCCAACACTAACCGAAGCGTTGCGGTGCATCAACAGCATTAATGTAACGTTGAAGCTTGAATGCTGGCAGGCGTAAGTGTCCTTACATATGAGGTGTATGAAGCTCCCATTCAGCGTCCGTGGCCGCTCTAACAGACCCCCCGTAAAAGTTTGGTGCTCGATTAGCTTCGTTTCGAACTCGCTAGTCAAGAAGAGACTGCCGTTGTCGAAGCTCATTACGTACATACCGCTGGCTCTAATGTACAGTGGAGGAAGTGGTACAGGAAAAAAATTTCGACTATCTTCACGCAGATTTTTTTTATATTCTGCTACCATAAAAGCGGACATAAAGTAAGTTGCTTTGAGGCTACGTCGCAGGTTATCAATATCGAATTTGCCGCATATGAAGTAAACAATTTTAAAAAACGACTTTCTGAATGTGTAGCACGTTTTCTGCTTGCAGAGATCTGAGTGCATCTTGCCGTCAGTCCATAACGTGACTGGTTTCTCTCGTGAGTTCAGGAAAACCTTGAAAAGCGCAGTGTTGTCCTTGAGGCAATTTTTGGGCACGAAGACGTCCATAAATTCTTTCCCGGACTCAAACGAGAGGATGAACTCGTTGGGTATGTCTTCGATGGTCTTAAGGACACTTTCTGTGACTTCTGTTCGGAAACTGTCCGTGAACGCATGTTCCTTGAACACCATAAGCAGGAACACGATCCCGTGTAAGGATGACCACATTTCAACAATAGGCCCGATATTACTGGGGTTCATGTTGAAGGTACAAAAGCGTATGGAAGATAAACGTTACCCGAACACTTGTAAATCGTCTCTGTACTGATTGAGATAAAAACACAAAGGGTGTAGTGCCCGAGCAATCAAGTAGCCTCCAGGCCAGTACGATCTCAGCTCTGGTCCTGGTCAATGCAAAGAAGTGCTCAAGTTAGGCATTTCCCTCCGAGAAGCCTGAATTTTCCACAGTCAAGGACATCTTCAATTCGTGAGTTTTCGGCTTTCTCCAATCTTGATAAAACACGCTCGGGA